TCACAAATACCATATATATAAAATATATCAAAAATGCCATGCGGGTACTCAAATGAAAGCTCTTGATAAGGATAACATCAAGATGAGCTTATATCTTTAAAAATATCAATAATTAAGAAATGACCTCGTATCTTGTGTTCTATTGACATTTTTTAAGAAATAAGCTCATCCTGATGCTACACTTAGCGAGACCTTTCATTAGAGTACCCACATCATTTTTTCATATATTTATATATATTATATATATGTATATATGAAAAATATAACAAAATGCATGTGGGTACTCAAATGAAAGGTCTCAATGAGTGTAACATCGGGATGAGCTTATATCTTTAAACACGTCAATATTTAAGAAAGTACAGTGCAATTTCACAAAAGTCATTATTTAATAAAGTAAAATTTTATTTATTTATAGTTCACAAGTCACGACAGTCACATAGTGACTGCAAGGTTCCTAGTAATTATTATTTATTAATTTGTAATTTTAAAAACTCTCGGTATTAATTTTTTTTTAATTAATAAAAAAAAATAACCGCTCCAGTTTTAATTTTTAACTTTAAAAAGAAAAATATTTATTTTAATAGTCTATAAATTCTAGTTAAAAACAAATTCACCTGCTCTTGATTTCTTTTCGTTTTGACATTTAGTTTATTCAATATATACTTTGAATAATACTTATACAAGTTTAACAAATTATTCATCTAAATTTTCTTTTTTGAACGAAGCCGCTTCGATTTGTCAAAGAATATATTATCAACATATTTAGTAGCTTCTAAACTATGACATAAGGGTTGATCCAAAGGAGAAAAACATTCTATAATTTTATGTCGATATAAATTTAGCCTTTGCTTATATTTTTAGCATCATTTAAAAAAAAACTAAGATTATAATGCCCATTAATCATTGCTTAAAATAATAAACTTATTAATTAAAATAAATTGTAGATAAAATAACACGGTATCAAAATGATAAACACGATCCAAGTAACTTAATCCTTGTGCAAGTTGACCAAAGAATAATGAGTATAATACATATAAGCTATATATTAAATTTCATATAATAAGAGAAAGTGTAATAATTATAAAACAGAGAAATAATAAAGGATTAAACGAGTCCACAGATAATATAAATTTAAATATGTGTGAGGGTAATCTTATATCTTATATCTTATATATTATATCGCAATAAAAACCCAAATGACAAATATCATTCCTCGCGTTAAAAAAAAATTTGGTAGTAAGACTTTGTATGTAAATGCTAAAATTTCAACATACACGTACAGAGGATTGAAAAGGTGAGCGGTTGTGAGAATCGAGGAGATGAAAAAACAACGGGAGGAAAGGAGTAAGCAAGTGACGTCAGGATTGTCATGGCAACACCCCCCAAGTACTCAACAGTATATTCACAGTGTGTTGATTGTAGAGTTCATTCTGCTCTCATCGACTATAAAGAAATCTGGCATTAGGAATAACCATCCAACTTCCATGTCCATTACTATTTAAATATATATATATATTAATACAATATATAATAATATTATATTGATACATAAATATCAGCGTATTAAAATCTCTTTCTAGGGTCAATCAATTATTATTAAAAAAAAAATATGTGTGTGTACCAGAGTACACAGGTAAGAAGTGAAACTTCTTTATGACGTATCATTTTTCTACTATTTACAACTTCACAGAAATTGGGTCGATAAGGTTTCCCTGAATAAAAAAAAGTATTGAGACAAAGAAAAAAGTATTGAAAAGTATTGGATTGACTAGAAAACCAATACTTTTCAATACTTTTTTCTTTGTCTCAATACTTTTTTTTTATCAGGGTTAAGAAAAAAAATTTTTTCCCGATTAAATTAAAGCTATTTTAGTATTATAGACATTAGGGTGGCGCAAAAAAACCGACTATTTTTTTTTTTTTTTAGTCACGAGTGAAAAAATTTTAGTTTTTTAATGTTTCAAGAGCTCTCTCCAAAGGACAGCTTAAAAAAAAATTTTTAAGAGGTCGTTCTAAATTTTTTTTAATTTAAAAAATCATCAAGAATTGAATTTTTTTAAAAATTTTTTTTTCTCGTTATACGGTATAATTTTACAGACCAAAAAGAGGTTTTTTTTTTGTCTATAAAATTATGACGTAAAGAGAAAAAAAATTAAAAAAAAAAATTTCGATTTTTGTAATTTAAAAAAATTTTGAGCGACTTCTTAAAAATTTTTTTTTGAGCTGTTTTTTGGAGAGGGCTCTTAAAACATCAAAAACTAATATTTTTTCACCCAAGACTCAAAAAAAAAATACTCGGTTTTTTTGCGCCATCCTAACAGACATGCATAGACATAATATGAGTAATTTATTTTATCATTGCTCTTATTATAATTATTGTATTTAATCAATTATGATCGCATCATTATTACCACTATTGTCATTACTTAGACACTGTCATTATTTAATCTAGAAATTAGTTAATCAGTTTACAAAAATTATGTAAAGAACTTTTATGTTCATATTTCATATCATAATTTAGTAAAAATAATTCAAAGCAGATATTTAATAATTTACTCAATTACACAAGTTATAAAAAAATAATTGGAATTGTCTATTCAAAGTGATACAATTATATGCAATGATTTTACAGAATTCAAAATGAATAAATAAATCATTAACAACGACTAATTAAAAAAGCTGTACGTATACATATTTTTATTTTTTAATTATGTTTTGTTTCATTTTTAAATTACTATTTAATTTGTTTTTTTCATTGTCTTTAGAATTAATAATTTTTACTAGATTTATTCTTTACGTCGCTATACTGAAACTTTGATAAAAAAAACATGGCGCGTAACCAAAAATCGAGACGATTTTTTTTACATCGCTATAAAAATTTCTCTTATACGTCGATAAAGAAGTTTCACTTAATAAACTTGCTATTTCTTCTACTAGTTTCTTTTACGCTCAATAAACTCAAAAATAAGCTATTAAATTAATGGCTTATATATTTAATACGGTTATTAATAACAAATCGTGTGGGTATTTTTGCACGTACATTTAAACACAAGTCACCCACGCAACTGGCCTATGCTTACACGAATATTTTTCAAGTTCATCTCGTAATACTGTTATAATAATGGACACACATCGTGTCGAGAAATGATTTTAAGATCTTAAAATTATTTAACTTGTACTAAATATATATTTATCAGTATTTTATCAGATTACTAAAAATATTGAGGTAAATGTACCAGTAACCGGTGATGCTGAATATCCGTCTATTTAAATGATATCAACTGTTAATTTTTAAATACGTTTATAATTGTACTACATCCGTTGGAGTAGGAAATTATATTTTATTTTTAATTTGTTATAAATTTATCATGATTCACGATCCAGTAGTTATTTAAACTCTAATAATTAATGCAATGAATAACTGATTAGCTTTATAAAATATTAATCCAAAGATATAAAAATTTGTATCTAAAATTATATTATTTATCAAATTAAAGATTGTGAGCGTAAAATAGAAAACTAGCGCGTTGGCATGATATATTTTATGTCAGTTAAAACGAGTAAAAAGTTTGACTTTTATCTGATATTTGACGATAATTTTCAGTATTATTATTAGATAAATGTCAGAATTATTTGAATAAGCTTTTATGTTTTACTTCAGCTTTTCCCATATTCTGTCAAACTCGTCATTAAACGGTTCGACGAGCTGCTTCTGGTTAGTCATAATAATTCCATCGTAGTTACCGAAGAAAGCTTGCATTGTCCAGTTAGTGCTGCCGTAAATCAAAGTATGTTTATCACTCACTGTGAATTTATGATGCATTAATGACGCCTTTGATCGTTGTATCCTCACTTTAATGCCTAATAAATCAATTTACAAATATATAAACTCAACTATGCACTATACTACTAAGTATACTTAACAAGAAACAAATATATTAACTGGTTTAATGATCATAAAATATTACCTGTACGTCTCAATCGTGTTAATTGATCTCCACATGCCGAATTTTCCGACATGCTAGCATCAGCGATAACTCGGACATTAACTTTCCTCTTGTGAGCACGAGAAATCGCATTTATTATCTCCTGGCATGTTACGATGTACATACAGACATCTAGGGTCTTCTTTGCGTTGTCCATATAATAGATTATGCGACTGGAACATTGTAATTTAATGTCAATTGTTATCAATTGACAGGTGATGTACAGTACTGACGGAAAATTTCCGGACAACCTTGTTGTTTACTTTTTAATTTAAATATGATACATAAACAAATTAACTTGATCTATAAAGAAAATGCTATTTTATTTTACAAAGTGTGTACGATCATGTCATTGACTTTCTTCTTGATTTATTTTACTTTTAATAAATTTTCATCTTGTCCGGAAACTTTCTGTCGGTATGTAATGTGTCACGTCATTATCATAAATAGAAAAAAATAATTATGTTAAAATTGAAACATCTGATAATTTTTAGAATTTTTTTTTTTTTAATAAATTAAATATAGTAAGATAAATTTATTTAAAAAATTCCATCTTTAAAAACTAAAAAATTATCAATGCAATTTTTTAGAAATAATTTTCGAGACCTAGTTTATTTTTTAAGAAAAAAAAAAAAATTTTAATAAAAATTAAGTTAACCGACAACTAAAAATTTTTAGAATTTTGTTTTATTTAAAAAAATTATTAGAAAAAAAATTTCATTTGTAAAAAACTTGAAAAACTATAAGTGCAATTTTTTAAAAATATTTTTTTGTCCTAATTTAATTATTAAAAAAAATTAAAAACGTCGGCTAACTTTAGTATTATAAAATTTTGAAGTTTCTGATAATTTCAGTGTCAAAAAATTATAATACTAAAATTAGCCGACGTTTTTAATTTTTTTTATTAATTAAATTATAACAAAAGAATATTTTTAAAAAATTGCACTTACAGTTTTTCAATTTTTTCACAAATTAAATTACTTTTTTTATTCTTTTGTAAAAATTATTTCAATAAAAAACATTCTAAAAATTTTTAGGTAGGTAGCTAAATTTTCATTACGGAATTTAGCAAATATAGCACATGTAGAAATTTTAAATAATTTAAAGTAGAAATTTTTTATAATAATTAATTTGTTATAAAATTTCGAGCATTTTTAGATGACATTAAAGTTAGCTGTCACTTGACCAATTTTAAATTTTATTTAACAATTAAATTAATTCTAAAAAATTGCATTTTTAATTTTTTAAAATTTCTAGTCAATTTTTATTCCATAATTTATTTATTAAAAAAATTCTAAAAATTGTTAAAAGTCTGCTAAATTAATTTCTATCTTATTTTAGACCTCTGCTAATTTTAGTATAATAAAAAATAAAAATAATAAAAAAAAAGGTTAAATTACTTGATACAATTAATTGGACATCTTGAACCACATGCTTTCTTCCTCGACGCGTGTGCTCGGCACCCCATAGAATCTTCAGCAAAAAAAAATACCTCACTTATCAATTTATTATTTTCATCCTCCTCTTCTTGACAAACTTTAGCTTTTTTATAACTTTTCCACAATCTCCAGCATAATTCTGTTGTAAGTACTCCAACTCCAGTGCAAAATGTTATTGAAATTATTTTATTAATCATTTTCAATAATTAACTTTTGCGCTGTAATTGTTAGAAAGAAGCTCAAGTCAATTGTTGTTTTGTTTGGTCCTTGTTGTGTGTTCATGAATCAGAAAACGCGGGACATCAGCGTACTCTGCAGCGGTGCCAACTATAAAGATCAAAGATGAAAATAAGATATCGATACGAAAGTTATCACAAGTTATCGACAGTCGTAACAGAAATTTACGCTTAAAATTTTGGCGCTAGTGTGTGAAGTTAAAAATATGCGCAGGTGCGATAAATATCCACGACGCTGAATTAAACCAATGACGTGTCAACGTGAAGGAAGTTGATTGGCTGGCAAGTATCCCAGAATGCATTGCGATGACGCGTTGCGAAGAGTGGGAATTTTACCTTCTATACAGCATCAGCTTTCCCTTTCCACGGTCTCTTTGTCCGTTGTCACCCGGATGAGTTAGTTCGTCGCTCATTTCTTAACATCCGCGGTTCAAGGTGGTTATTCAATTATAAAAAGTTTTTTTTATCTCTTCATAAACCGCTTCGTGCTTATGAAGCAATTGCTTTGTTGGAATTAAATTTTATACTTCGGAATATCAGTAATCAATAATTAGCGTTATGGACGGTGAAAATAAACCGGATACCACAAATCCGTCGCAGGAAAACAGCAATGAAAATAATCAACGGCCAGGACAAAACCAAGGTGGCGGAGGTGGAGGTGGAGGCGGTGGAAACCGCGGTGGAGGACGTGGTAGAAAAGGCTCTAGATTTTCTGGTGGCCGTGGAGGTGGCGGTCAAAGAAATAATAATGATATGCAGGTAATTTTTATTGATTATTTTTCATTTTTTTTTAGTCATTTGGAAGGGGGAAAAAATTCGTTGTTCAGCGCGTCCATTTTCGGCGCCATTTTCTTTACCACGCGGTCTTTACACGGGATGGCTGAAATTTTAATTCAATAAATTTATTTTTATTATCTTATTATTCTTAACGTAATTGTTACAGCATACACTTATTATTTTTTTTTTAATTTAATGTGCAATTTAGTTTTTTTTTTTTGCAATTGATTTAAATAATTTGCACATGTAAAAAAAATTGAAATTATAATAAGTGCATAGCAGTTATTCAATAATTTTGAGAATTTTTTAAGAAATAAATATAAAACTTGAATTAACCGACACCTAAAAATTTTTACAACTTTTTTTTAATGAAAAAGTTATTACAAAATTAATTATTTAAAAAAAAATGACATTAAAGTTAGCAGTCACTTGACAATTGTTTAATTTTTTTAACAAATGGATTTTTTCCAAAAAATTATTTTAAAAAAATTGCATTTTTTATTTTTTTAAATTTCTAAGCATAAGTTTCATTTTATTTTAGTAATTCAATTTTGTCCCTGCCGCCACGCTTGAGTGATTGAATTTATAATCATCAAGTGCCAAATGTATACTTAATCAGGGTAGAGTAAAAGAAAGCCCAAATAGGAAGCACGATTGTAATTAAATTGCTTTACGTGTGCCAAACCTTTGGGTACAATTTAAATTAAATTAGTTTTTATTTTTTTAAATTTCTAAATGTCAATTTTTTTTCTACTTTTTTTGCCATAATTTATTTGTTAAAAAAATTCTTAAAATTATTAAATATATGCTAAATTAATTGTCATAAAAAAAAAAATTGAAAATATCGGCTAACTTTCGTATTATGAAATAAGTTAGTCCAGAAAAAAAATTGACGTAGAAATTTAAAAAAGATAAAAAATGCAATTTTTTGGAAGAAATTTTTTTTTTTTTTAATAAAATTACAAAATTGTAAAGTCGCTGTTAATTTTAAAGTCTTAAAAAACATTCATTTAATTTTATACAATAATTGACATCAAAAAATTATGAGTCTAAAATAATTTTTTTTTTTTTTTAATTTCAAAAAAATTTTTCCAATTTTAGTTTTTGAACTTGTTCATTGATAGATAATATTTTTTCAGATGAAAATGAGTGATTCCATGATGGATGATCAAAACATGCAAGATAACATGGGAGGAGCAGGTCTAATGGGTGCTGGTCCCCAAGATCATGATGGTGGTGGTGGCGGCGGCGGTGGTAGAGGAGGTGGCGGTGGACGAGGTAGTGGTGGTGGCCGCGGAGGCGGACGAGGAGGCCGTGGAGGTGGCGGCGGTGGCGGTGACAGAAACATGGGAAACCGATCACAAGAAGTAACTATCAATTCATCTTCTATTATTAGACATAAAATTGTTTACTTGATTAAAGTTGAACGTATTCTTATCATTATTTTTCAATTTTATTATCTCAGGACCGCTTAATGGAGAGAATAATGAGTCTTAATGGTCCAACCCACGATCTTCCACCCCAAGATACTGCTGAGAAAAAATTCAGCGGCCGCAATCGACTCTACGTAGGAAACCTCACCAATGATATCTCTGAAGAAGAAATAAAAAATATGTTCAGTCCTTACGGTGAAATATCAGAGCTCTTCGTCAACAAAGAGAAGAATTTCGCTTTTCTGAGAATGGTAAATTTTATTAAATATTATAATTACATATTTTTAATAATTATTAATACTTTTCTAAATGATTATAAAAATTACCGTCTGAGCTTCAGTGATAATACTCCTAGGCTGCATTTTTTTAAATGTTATGATTTTGAAAGAATTACAATATATTTTATTATTCATGTCGAAACAGTGAAAATAAAAAAGAAAATTTTTTTCGTACAGGATTACAGAATAAACGCCGAAAAAGCGAAGCACGAATTGGATGGAACAATGCGTAAAGGCCGTCCAATTAGAGTGAGATTCTCTCCTCACTCTTCAGCTATAAAAGTAAAAAATCTAACGCCTTGGGTGTCCAACGAGCTTTTGGAGAAGTCATTCAGTGTCTTTGGCGAAATAGAGCGGGCGATTGTAATCGTTGATGACAGAGGAAAGAGCATGGGCGAAGGCATCGTCGAATATGTCCGAAAACCATCGGCTTTAATGGCTCTAAGAAAATGTAACGAAGGCTGCTACTTCCTCACCGCGTAAGTTTATAATTGATTTATTTTCCAAGGTAAAAGACCCAGTTATTGACACTTGCAATTTTATTTTAATTCAGGGGCACAACTAGTGTGACAGCCTAAGAAAAAGCCATTTTTGGGAGTTAGAATAAAAAAAAACTCCTGTATGAATTGTTTTAAAATTTTGAGGGTATATTAATACATATTTTAAGAATACGAGGTAAAATTTTTGAAGAAAAAAACTTAATATTTTCCAAGTTACACGCGATTTCCAATGGCGTTAAAAAAAAAGGTCCTCCACTGCTGCAGTGATTCCAGCCTTCCCCATGAATGAAACATAAAAAAAAATTCTCGTTCAACTAGAAAATATTGTTCGTACAATGACCCTCGGTGGCGGCATTTAAAAAAAAAATAAGTTGAATTTTACCCAAAATTTTGGTCTTTTTGGTCTAATAAATTAATAAATTAAATTTTTTAATTGTAAATTCCAAGATAATTATTATTTTGAGAACATTTTATTTTTTTAAATAGAGTAAAATTGCAAATGCCAAACAACTAGGCCAGTGTCAATAACTGGGTCTTTTAACTTACGACCCCAACGCCACGCTTGTTTAATTTTTTTGATTGTACAAGTGCCAAATATTCATTTGATTAGGGGAATATTAATTGAAGTCCGAATTAGGAAGCATAGTTAGATAGATTTTACGCTTTACTGTGTGCCAAAAGTTCGGATACATTTTTATTAAAAAAGAAAAATTAATTATTGATTAATTTTTTAGATCATTGGTTTTTTTTTTAATTAAAATTTATTCGTATTTTATAGATCATTGAGACCGGTTGTCGTTGAATCGCTCGAACAGCAAGACGACATTGACGGTTACCCAGACAAAAATATTCAGCGTAAGAATCCGGAATTTTTCAAAGCCCGTGAAATTGGACCACGCTTTGCCCACCCAGGTAGCTTTGAACACGAGTACGGTACCAGGTGGAAACAATTGCATGAGTTGTACAAACAAAAGGAGAAAGCTCTGAAACGCGAAATGGCCATGGAAGAAGAGAAGCTTGAAGCTCAAATGGAATTCGCTAGATACGAACATGAAACTGAGTTACTTCGAGAACGTAAGTTTCATTTTATTTTAGTAATTTAATTTTGTCCCTGCCGCCACGCTTGAGTGATTAAATTTATAATCATCAAGTGCCAAATGTATACTTAATCAGGGTAGAGTAAAAGAAAGCCCAAATAGGAAGCACGATTGTAATTAAATTGCTTTACGTGTGCCAAACCTTTGGGTACAATTTTACAATTTAAATAAAATTTCTTTTTATTTTAAACTTAGTTATTAAATAATTTTTTATCGTTTGATCTGCAGAATTGCGTCTTCGTGAGGCTGATCGTGAACGACAAAAACGCGAATGGGAAATGAAAGAAAGACAAGCCCAAGAGCGCCGTTCGCGTGAGGAAGAAGTCCAGCGTCGTCAGCAAGAAGAAATGGCGATGCGCATTCGTCGACAAGAAGAAGAATTACACAGACGTCAGCAAGAAAATAATCTCTTCATGCAGGTTTGTGATTAATCATTAAAATTAATGATTACTTGTTTAAATAAAATTTGTTTGCTAAATTTTCATTTTATTTTCACAGGAACAAGCCATGCGTGGAGGTGGTGGTGGTGGTGGAGGTGGTGGCGGCGGCAGCGGTGGTGGAAAAAACTATGACACCGCTGGTGCTAACGACCGTGATCCCTACAATGGACCCGATGGTAAGTTTTTCTAATTTATTTATTTTTTTAAGGTGATCCAAGTACCACCCCCTCCTAGTGTAATGAATGTCTATAAAAAATAGTACGTCGAAATACTTTTGTTATACATCTTAAAATTGATTTTTAAATTAATTAATAACATTTTTAAAGAGATTTCCGAAAAATCTAGTCATTAAATAATTATTAACATTTAATTAACTAATAAAAAATATAGCACTCTTAATTACCGGTTTAAATTAACAACACCGCAAGAGTTCCCTAAGCTTCAAATTTATTTATGTTTATTGCCCAAGCGGCACAAATTTTTTTGGTAATATTTTGTTGAATTTAAGTTGACAATTATTAATTTTTAACTTTTTGTTAAATAAAATTTTCAAAAAAGTCAACAGTCAAATACAAGACTGTAAAGAACGGAAGTTCCTTGTGATTTTTCACATAAAATATAAAATATCTCCGTAATACGTTCGGAAACCTATCTTTTTATTGTTTTAATCAAAAGCTTATTATTTTTTCAATCAAATTCTATGAAAGTAAAATTTTTTTTTAATCGTTAGTTACATTAAATTCTTAACCAAATACGCGGCTGGTGGAATCTCGTTTTATCTACATGTAAAAATTACAATTTTCAAACCTAATTATTTCATTAAATATCCCGGAAACTTACTGTTTTTCAATTTTTTTTTTTTAATTAATTATTAACTAATAAATATGATTTTCTTTTTGTTATAGGAGGAAACAATATGCCAGTGGTAACGTATTCTTTTTAATCAACTTATTTAACAAATTTATTTTTTCTTCGAACATTGATTGCTAATCTAGTCATTCTAACTCTCATAATTCGTATCATTCGAAAATGGATTTCATCATAAAAATTTAGAGCGAAAATTTCATATTCAGAAATGGAAAAAATTCATCAGTCTTGTTGTTTTCAATCCGATGATTTATCGAAATACTTTATCGCTAAAAACAGCGCGTAATTATTTTTGTTCATTGATTATAAATAATAAGATATTCGATATATTATTTTTGCATGATGAAAATATAAATTTGTCCGTCGTTATAAAACACGCGTTTACTCTTACATTTCTGATGAATATTGATGCTAACAGAGGTCTTGTGCCTGCAATAAAGTTTACTATTCAACTTGTATACTTTCAACAAGCTTATATAAAATCAAATAATCTTTTGTTTGTTAAAATTACTAATTAAAATTTTTATTTCGTGTAAAACACAACCGCATGGAGTTATCGACTGACGTTTATAATTTAACTTGCGATACGTTCGCTTAATTGATATCGTTCGATAAAAAAAACTTGAACAAAATTGAGTATTTTTTTCATCACCAAATACCGTAGTGTGCAAGCTACTTGCATCGATACTGATAAATTACTTTATTCAAAAATTATTTGGAACTAAATCGACTGTCTTGGAATAAATTTTGTATTTCTGACAGTCGATTACAAAAAATAAAACTGCTGAAGCTTATTAAAATATAATTATTTGGGAGGGAAAAAGTATCTAAGAAAATTTATCGATTCAAAGAGATTATTCTCTTTAATTAAATATATAAGTACACGACTTAAAGTCTGTACATATTCGTCCGTAGTTATAAGGCTACGTTATAATTTTATTTTTATTTTAAACATAAATCCGTTTATTTCACAATGAATTAACTCGCGCAAGAAGTTTAATTCGTTTGGTGTCAATAGGCATCTTGTAATTAATATAATATTATTTAACATTGATGTTATAAATAAAAATAATTAAAATATGTCAAGATTGATTTCTCCATGTGCGTGCAGGCAAAAGACTCTGTTTTATATCTTTGAGTGAATTTATTTTTATATAAAAAAATAACACCTGATATTTAATTATTTCATTCAGGTTTTCAAATAATTTTTTCTAATTTTACAAACGAAAAAATGCCCAACTATATTAATTAATTGTAAGAAAACGCGCCGTATTTTTTATTAAATTATTAAAAGTTTAAATTATTTTTTAGTGGACAAAAAGACCCTGATCAAGTCTTTTAGCTGCTTATAATAATTTATCTTTTAATATTAAATATAATTATTAGGGTGTGCCAAAATGTAACTTCCGTGAAGAACCTTTTAAAATTGGAATTTCATGTTTCATTTATGGAGAAGGCCAGAATGACTGCAGCAGTGGAGGGACTCTTTTTTTTTTTTTAGCGCCTCCGGAAATCGCATGTAACTCGAAAAATATTCAATTTTTTTTTTCAAAAATTTTACTGTATATTCTTGAAATATGTATTAATATACCCTTAAAATTTTTTTAAAATTCATACAGGAGTTTTTTTTATTTCAATTCCCAAAAATCGCCTTTTTTTAGGCTGTCACACTAGTTGTGCCCCTTAACCAGGCTATATAAATTATTAAAATATATATAATTATTAGGGTGTGCCAAAATGTAACTTCCGTGAAGAATCTTTTAAAATTGGAATTTTTAAAGGTTCTTCACGGAAGTTACATTTTGGCACACCCTAATAATTATATATATTTTAATAATTTATATAGCCTGGTTAAGGGGCACAACTAGTGTGACAGCCTAAAAAAAGGCGATTTTTGGGAATTGAAATAAAAAAAACTCCTGTATGAATTTTAAAAAAATTTTAAGGGTATATTAATACATATTTCAAGAATATACAGTAAAATTTTTGAAAAAAAAAATTGAATATTTTTCGAGTTACATGCGATTTCCGGAGGCGCTAAAAAAAAAAAAGAGTCCCTCCACTGCTGCAGTCATTCTGGCCTTCTCCATAAATGAAACATGAAAAAAAAAAAATTCTCGTTCAACTAGAAGATATTCGTACAATGACCCTCGCTCGAAAAAAAATATCAAAAATTGACAAGATGGCGGCGTTTTTTAAAAAAAAGTTAAATTTTACCTAAAATTTTCGTCGTTTTTGGCCTGCCAAAATTCGATTTTTGATATGTGAAAAAAAATCGATTTTTTGAAAATTTCACACTAATTGTGCCCTTTAATAAATGTTATCGTCTATGACGAGCATTGTCTGACTTGAAAATCGCCAATGTTGGGCATTTTTATCGGAAAAATGTATAACAATAGCGATAAATTCAACGAATTTATCCACTAGCGATTTAGCAATCTGATTTAAATTGAAACCTCATAGATAAAATCTAAAAAAGGGTTTCTATAATATTGAATCGCGTTTTATATAATTATCTTAAAAAAAAAAAAAAAAAAAAAAAGTTATGACGGAAAACAATCTCTAACATTATTTTTTCCCCTTTCTTTTCTATGTGATATTGACGATGATCTGCTGCTGTGTGATGGATGGTCACCTTTAATGAACAAAACCATTATAAAACTATTAATGGTTAACATCCCAATAATCTGCAATACAAATCAAATCCACTGTTATGCGTTTCAATATAAACGTCGTACGTGGTGTTACGGTTAATCATTTCAAACCATTTGAATAAACCGTATTCTTCGTATGTTGTATATCATATACATATGTACTCGACTTGATAACTTAAAAATTAATTTATAAAAAATATGAATGTAAATAATCAGGATCCTAAATCGTTCATGGACGCGTATAATAATATGGATCGCACGAATCACGGTAGCGGGGGTTACGATGATCGTGGACCAATAATGGATCTTATGGATATGCGGGTTGATATGAACAACATGGGTGGCGGTGTTGGTGGTAATAATCGTGGTAATAACGGCGTCGGCGGTGGTCGTTGGCAAGGTGGTGGCAATGACCGTAATCGCCAGGAAGACTTTCCAAATAAGCGACGACGTTATTAGAAAACAAACATCACTATAATTATTAAATAATTAGATAAATAATAACTGACTAATCAGCAATAACTTTAAAAAAATGTCAAGCGAAATATGAAAAAGGAAAAATTCTGTTTGAATTTATATTAATTTTCAGTATTACCTATCTGTGTGTTAGAACAATTTAAAATTGATAATTTTTATTATCATGACTGCATTATTATTATCATCATCATCATATTGTCTTTTTTTTTTGTTTTTCAATTAGACTTATTGAAAAATTTAATTTAATTTATATTACGCCCGCTGTTTCCTCACGTAATTGTCAGTTTTGATTCGTTTAAATTTCAATGAGGAAATTTTATCCAGTATATAATTTAGGGACTCATTGATTTAAATTTTACACTATTTGTTTGACTTAGTCATTCATGTTTACTAACAAATATTAATTAAATTACTAACAATATTATTTAGATTGTCTTTAGAGTTAAGTCTTAATTTATTCATTCGACAATGAGTAATAGTGCATGAGCACGTTTATTAATTCTTCCGTGGAACGTGTTTCCAATAATATCTACTTAAAAACAAAAAAAAAAAATTAAGAAATAAATACAGTTATAATTAAAGGGATTACTTTGATACATGCTTAAAAAAAATATATAATAATTGTGAAGATTCCTGGGTTGTAATAGGAATGCAAGAAAAAATTTTTTTGTATTAAATCCTTTTAATTATATAGTAATTAATAAAATTTATATCAAGTAATTATCGTTTAAATTTCAATCAATTGCTGTTGAGATAATTAGATAAATGTTTGTTTGATAGCTAGTCAACTTATCGTTAAAAATAAATTAATAAATTGACAATATTAATACTCAGTAAACTTAATTCCATGTAGATGTTTTTTGACGCTCAGAGATAGGGTTTATTTTTTTTTTTAATGTGTGTTTTTTGTGTCGATATTTATTTAGGGTGTAAAATAATTCTTTATGGTGGTTAAAAAAAAGTTTATTTGACATTCATCAAATTATCTTGATTCTGAATTGATTGAACAATTGAATTAATATTATTATTATTACTGTCTTGAAAAATTAGTACTAATTAATCGAATAAAAATATTTAATAATTTTATTATCGTGTATGGATAATAAAATTTTTTCATGGTTAGTCTGTAAGTCTAAAAAATCGTGACACGATTGTACTAAAAGAATAAAAAAAATCATATTTTTTTCATCATAATTTTGATTGAAATAATTTATCAAAATTAACTGCATTATTTATTAATACATGACTTATATATACGACATGGTGTATATTTACATGTAACTTTTTATGAAAATAATATGATTAAAAAAAAAATAGATGATAATTACAGTTCTGATAGCGATATAACTAAATAGTTATTTAGAACCTTCAATTATTTTTAATTTCCTTGTCTTCACACTAGATGTGAATTTGTCTCACGCTAATTATGATTATTGCTTGAAACAATTTATCAATAAAATTTAAAAAGCAAAAAGAATAAAAAAAATTTTTTTTTCTATCAAATATACTCATGATTTTATTAGATCTCTTGATATACAGTCTTCAATTTTTCTAATTGACTTTGAAAAAAAATATCACGACTTAGCTTTGGAAAAAAGAGACATTCAGATAATACAGTATCTTCTACAATATCAATTTTGAGAATTTTATTACAACATTCTTTAACGGCGGATGGAACAGCAATCACAAGATTATCTTTCTTTCTTGAATCCACTAGTCAATGAATTCCACTTGTCCACTATAAGGTGAGTAGTTTTGCAAAAATGTTTTACTATTCAATTGAATTCCAGTGGGATGGATCTTTTGTGACTATTTTTATCAACAACCATAAAAAAAAAAACTTTTCTCAAACATTTTATAAATAATTATATATTTGGGGGGGAATTTGAATATTTTATAATATATGTATATATTTTTTACAGGAATTTATTTTTTTATTTTTATCTTCAGTAAGATTTTTTTTTAATTTTTAATTATCAAGCAGAATTGATTCAAACTTGATATTTATTTTTATTTTTCTGAGTCAAGTTAAAAATTTTTAATTACACCTTTTTTTTTATTTATTTATTATTATATACAATGAATCAATGGAATTAAATTTTTTTGAACGTTCATTGAAAATAATTTTTTAATAGTTGAAAAAAAAAATACTTTTTATTAATTTTAATTTATTAAAAAATTAGCAATACAAGTTTTTAACTTTTAATTGCTATATTTTTTTTTTTAAGTATGTTTTTTTTTTTTTTTTTTTTTTTCAATTGATTAAATTTAAAAAAAATTAAGGTAGTGAATCTTCAATGGAAAAAAAAATATCTCAACGCAAAATAACATTTTGCTAATAATAAATGTATTATTTACCTTTTCACTGTCTGCAGTTATGGAGAATTGATTGAAAATTATCCACAATGTAGGTATATCTATAATTAATCATTACAATGAAGCATTCATAAAAAAAATAAGTATGAAAAAACCTATCTATATCTCACAAACAATATAACGAGAAAACTAACGAATTTTTGTTGGATTTAACAGCAGCTCAGAGCTTGAATTGTTACCGAAGACAACCTAAATATATATATGCTGATACACGATTTATTATCTGATGGTTGTCGCGGTTTATTTTTTAAAAATCTGAGCTGTGCTAGGCAATTAAATTGTTTATTCATTCAAAAGTATGGTATTTAAATTAAAAAGGGAATGGGGATGATTTAGTATCTTTGAATATAAATCTATACTTTCTACCAGTATCAGATTGCCACTGGCAATATTCTCTTCTTTAATAGCGCTTCTACGTCGTACTTAATAACAAATCACGTTTATTTCATCTGATATTCTTATTTATTTTCCTTTTTTTATTTATCCGTACAATTGATACTTTTCTCTTGCCCTCATAAATAAGAAGCCATATTGTTTGGTAATTGGTTTTCTCAGCCATACATATTCCATTAAATTGTCATTAATATTTTATTTTTTAATCAATAAATTCAAACGAGTTTAAGTTTGTATTGAGTAAATTATTTTGAAAAAAAAAATTTATTTGTAGCGTACATGTTGTAATTTTTTTTTACTCAATTTCAGGTCACAGCAATAGCAGTTTATTGAGACATGGAATTTATTTAACATACCAGATGTTTTGTGTCAAAATCAATATTTTACTGTCAGCGTTTCAAAGCCACTGAATTTATAATTCCGTAAGTGATAAATATTTATTTTATTAAATTAACTTAAATTTATGGTTGAAAAAAAGAAATTTATAAAATTTAAAATGATGATTCTATCTTTCGGGTCTGAAAATATTGATGTTCAATTATCCCAACGTGTACTGAATAAATTTTATATGTTATCTTTAACAATTCATATGCGAGCTGTTATTTTTAGTATTTAACAAAGTATTTTTATTGTGCAGATCAATAACGACAACGAGGTGGATAGTGACGTTACAGAGGAAAATCAGAGCTTCAACAATGAAGTAGGGGCTCTTAGATATTTCTGTTTGGTAAGTTTATTCAATAGTAAATTTATTAAAAATAGTTTTATTAAATTTTTATATGATGCCTACATCTTTCGGGACTGATTAACGTTGATGTCACTTTTCAAACTGATTTTTTATATTTTCATATAAAAGTTTTGTTCTATGTCCAATTGAATATTAATCAGATTTATTTTTCTTTTTTATTAGCTTGAGGCCAACAAAAATAAAAATGGATGAGCGGATTTACTTTGAAAGCGCGGAGTTGGTAAGTGACTTATCAAAATTTAATTACTAATAATGAGTTGAAGTAGTATTTTTTTTAATATCAATAAAATTAAAAGACGATAACTGATCTTTTCGTGAAATTAACTAAATCTATATGATAAAGAGAATAAGAAAAATTTTGTGTCCAGGATAGTCATGACAAAATCGGTTTTTTTAGTGAAATGTAATGTCATTGCAAAGGTCTTGATTTGAATTTATGCCTTTTCAAGATTTCATATCATTCTCAGCGGTAGTCAATTTATGATGATCAGTATTTAGGCTGCATTCGATAATTCTTTATCTCTAGATACATAATTAAGAAATGACCTTGTATTTGAGAACTATTGACATTTTTAAAGATATAAGCTCATCCTGATGCTACACTTATCGAGAGCTTTCATTTGAGTACCCACATCAATTTTTTATATATTTATATATATTATATATATGTATATATGAAAAATATATCAAAAATTTATGTGGGTACTCAAATGAAAGCTCTTGATGAGTGTAACATCGGGATGAGCTTATATCTTTAAAAATGTTAATAGTTGAAAAAGTACAGTGCAATTTAACAAACGTTATTATTTAATAAAGCAAAAGTTTAATTTTTTATATTTCACGGCAGTCACATATTGACTGGAAGGTTGCTAGTTTTTATTAATATGTTTATCTATTTGAATATGATGTTTACATCTTTCGGGACTGATTGACATTGATGTCAAAATTTTCACTGATTTTTTTTATAAAAATTAAAAAATTCATTTTTTTTAAATTATTTTCTATTAAGGTAACAAATTTTTTACAGCTCTTAATTAAAAGGAGAGATTTTCGACAGCTGAGGAAGAATCATCGGATGTTTCATTGAATTTGTAAGTATAAATTTTAAATTTTATATAGTTATTAATTTTTATAACAAATAAAACTAAAAATTTTGCCTGTATTTGAACTTGAAATGTATTTCTAATTAATTATTTAAATATTTCTTATGAGCTGAATCTTTTGATAAAATGATTCGATTTTCTTATTGCGAAAAAAATTTTAATTTTCACTTTTTATCAAAGTAAATATACTTTTTTATAATGAATAAAGAACGCAGAGGTGGCATTATTGCTGATTTTTATTTTATGTAAAAATTAAATCTGAATATATTTTTATCTTACCCAAAAATTTTTTTTTTTTAATTTTAATGTAAAATTAATGAAAAAATTTTTTTTAAGTTCGAGGATCCACATTCAATTATTCAATTTCCACTGAAGTCGCATTGGTAAGAATTATTCCAAATTAATTTTCAATTCACTGAAATATTTTTATTTTGATAAATCGAATTTTAATTTTAAAAAAATCAATAATTATCAAATAAGAGTAAATATCACTAATTAATTACTATAGATAAAATGAATGATGAACTCCGACTCCTCCTTACCTTTTCTGACAAAAACTTGATGTTTAACTCCTCTGATGATATAATCACACAAAAATTTTATTTTTCAATTAACCAACATGAGATTAATAAAATTTTATTTTTTTTTTAGAGATTCAAAACCAATTATTCCGCTTCAAGTGTAATTTCACTGGAGAGATAAATTTTTAAATAAATTTACAATAAAAAAAAAAATACCAATTTTACACTGAAGTCGCATTGGTAAGAATTATTCCAAACTGATTGAAATATTTTTATTTTAATAAATCATTGATTAAATATTGAATATAAATAAAATTTAATTGATAGTGAATTGCACGCCTCATAAGCGAAGCGTTGAGGTTGTGCTCTACTCTCGACATTTCAAAAAAGCAGTTTTCTCGAAACTGAAATTAATTTTTGTTATTTATATCACACTTACAGGTTAACATGAGTATACACTTTTATATCAAGTCAAATAATTTGTTAGACACATAAAATATTTTTCAAAAAATTTTTTTTTGTTAAACAATAAATAATAACATTAATCAATTTTATTGTAAGAAAATGAGATTATGAGGCGTGCACTTTTGGATTTTCCAAACTTTTTTTTATTTGCAATCGAATTTCAATTTTAAAAAATTAATTATCAAATTTACGTAAAAATCACTAATTAAATTATTATAGATAAAATAAATGATGAATGTCTAATCTACCCTTACCTTTTCTGACAAACATTTGATGTCAAAAAATTCTGATCATATCATCACAAAATTTTCATTTTTCAATTAATCAACATAAGCTTAATAAATTTTATTGTTTTTTTAGATTCAACTTTTTGAACGAATTCAAAACCAATTATTCAGCCTCAAGTTTAATTTTACTGGTAAGAAAAATTTTTTAATAAATTTCCTTAAAAAAAAAAAAATACCAATTTTACTTGATGAATTCTGGCTAGAGTCCTGAATTAAAGATGACAACATATCGTTCATTTTCTGATTTAATCATCTCTTATATTTATATTATCAATTCCTAGATAAAAATAATAATGAAAAAAAAATATATCTGTTGCAGAAAGACGAACTCGACGAATTTCAAAGGAACATTAGAAGATGAATAATAAATAAAAGTATTATCAAATAACATAATGTATAATATATTAAGTTATAAATAAAATACAGAATAAATATAAACGAATAATATCAAAGCTTTGACAACATTATTTTTTATTAATTAACCGCAGAAAGCCATCATATACACCATTCACTCTGAATAAAAATCTTAACGTCAATGACAAGTAATAAACTTAATAATATATATTTTACATAAATATTAAATATTATAATTGAGTAAATAATATATATTTTAATTGAAATATACATTATTACGTGAGTTGTGTGCTAAACAGTACAAAAATTATTGTAAATATTTAATAACGTTATGAAATAATTGGCGGTGATTTATTTATTCATTTTCTTTTAGTTTTTTAAATTTATGATGTACAGTACAGTAAGTGCAATAAATCGACATGAGACGCGGTACAGTAGTCAATAAATACACGGCCGGAGCGGGTGGAAGGAATGATTTGGTGTTTTGAGCTTCTATTTATCTAAAAAAATTACTATAATTATTTATATTTTACTCAATTACTTATCAACCGACAAAGTACCTTTATTTTAATTACCAAATTCGTTTTTTTACGGCGTTATTAATTTTTAAATTATTTTACATCACAAATAAACGGAAAATAGCCGTGGCAATTTTTTTTTTAAAAACTCACGGGCACATTTATTGTATGCAATGCCTAATTATATTTATATTTATATTTATATATTTATATGTATATGTTTAAAACATGCGTTGCAACCTCGCATTAAGTAAGCATTTTTTTAAAAACTTGTACGTCCAATCCAGTAATTGTTTCGCTAACATTTTAATAATTATTTTTATTTATACATTTGTTTTAAACTCCTCAATACTTTTTTTATACATTTGTTTATTTCTTTTATTTATTTTTATTTCAATTATTGTAGATCACAGACAACTTGTTCTTAATTCATAAAAACAATTTAGTTTTCTTTATTTTATTTTTTTTTATTTATTTATTTATGATAGCATGTGTCAAGTGTATAATATGATTGTGTAATTGTAATGTGCGTCCAGGCAAATTTATAAATTCTCAAGCACTCAATTACATTGTGTTAATTTTATAAAATTTATAATAACAAAATTAAAAAATTTGCAATACTGATTTTTATTATTTTTGAGCATTGTTAAATAATTTAATCTCAAAAAAAAAATTTTTTACTAAACAATGCTCATTACAAAATAATTTTTTTTTTTTCAATTAAAAATAAAAAACATTTACGCGTATTAATTTTACCAAATCACACAAATGTACACGAGTGATTTAACAAATGACAGCCTGATTAATTAATTGGACGGCTGGGAAAGTCAATTAGGTAATTTGTTTACTTTTTTTTGTATCAGAATAAATAAAATAAAATAATGGACTGTTTTTTTTTTTTTAATTTTTTAAGTAATGAGCATTACATCAATATTTGCCGTTAATTTTTCTTTTTAGTCTTATATATTGTTTTTTATTTATTTAAATTTAATTATCCATAAATTGTGTTGGCGTGGAGCGATTTTTAATTAATAAATTTATTACCTATCTGATACTAAGATGCAACGGTGAATGAATGCATATGATCCCACAACAAGCGAATTATTAAATTTTTTTTTATTTAATAATTTTTAACATTATTTATCATTTATGCACTTAATTATTTAGATTTTATTTATTATATAGCATTTATTAAATGTGATTTTCAGTACTGCAAATCATACTCTCTTATAAAATTTAATATCAGAGTGAACCAGACTTGATTTTATTTAAATAATTATTAACGTCAAATCCTAATTAACTCCTCAAACTCAACGAATATCACCTTGTCTTTATTGTTCATAACTTTGAAAAAATTCGTTGAAAGTCCAATATGTTTCTCATATTTACCCGTATGATTAACAGACAGATAACTGAGGATAACTTATTATTATTTTTATATGCGCTAAATCTTTTTATTTCTCCGATACAGAAGTTAAAGTTTTTTTCTGGTTCACTCCGTAATGTGTAGAATACAATAAAGTGGTTTCCGATTAAATCTTTATCACCGCGATAAGTATCTTCGTACAAAGGAAACAATAAATTATACTTGTGCCAAGTATTATGTTGATCCTCTTGACTGTCCGCGGATTTGAATCGGCTGCTTTTTATTGTATTGTATTGTATTGTATATACTTTTTTTTTATCTACTTGGGCTTCCATGAAATGTTGTTCAATCCTTGAAATTGCCGTTTCAAACTGCCGCTGTCGGCCCAGCCGGAGTTAAGATACTCGTCGTCATCATCTTGCTCAAGTTCCTTGTTTTCAATGAAAAAAAAAAATTGTTTTTTATTGTTTGGTTAATATTAAATTATGTATTTGATGAATATGTAGTTTTTTTAATTAAGTCAAATAAAAGCTCTTGTTTTATTTTTAATTAGATAAATTTACATAATTTTAAATTCTTGACATGAAAAAATATTTAGAGAAATAATACCTAAAAAATGGAAAGTTAGTTCAATTTAATAATGTTAAATAATAAATTATTCTATTAAATAAATTCAGCCGTAACTTGTGAACTATAAATAAATAAAATTTTGCTTTATTAAATAATGACTTTTGTTAAATTGCACTGTACTTTTTTAATTGTTGACTTTTTAAAAATATAAGCTCACTATATACATATATATAACATATATAAATATATGAAAAATTGATGTGGGTACTCAAATGAAAGCTCTTGATGAGTGTAACATCGGGATGAGCTTATATCTTTAAAAATGTCAATAGTCCACAAGATACAAGGTCATTTCTTAATTATGTATCTAATAGATATAGAGCATTTTTAAATAGAACCTAAATACTTATCATCATAAATTGACTATTGGTGAGAATGATATGAAACCTTGACAAGGCACAACTCCAGGTCAAGACTTTTCCAACGATACTAAATTTAACCATAAAAACCCATTTTACCATGTAAATACACTGGCCACAAAATTTTGCTTATTCTTTTGGTAATAAAGATTAATGCTCACAGAAAGAGCTGTTGCTCTTACATCATGAATAAGAGTGTGTTAGATGTAAAATAAAATATTAATTTTTAAACAGATAAACAAAAATAAAAACGTTTAATACACAAATAAGAAAAAAAATTATAAGAAAATCGACAGCCTGATTTATATAATAGATCTAAGAAAATATGAATATCGCTTAGCAATATTATATACAAAAGTATTTATGTTTAAAATAAGTAGATTGAGGTAAGTTATGGAGAGTTCGTGCGGGTTTTAAATCGATGGTTGATGTCCTTGTAAAGTTTTCCTGGTGCATTCGCTTACATTTAGGATATAAACGCCCGATTTGCACAGGTTGTTATTCTGGTTGTGGGGTGAAATTGAGTTATATGAGCTTTATTAAATTTGTAAATATTTAAACACATACCAGCAGAGTGGTTTATTGTGTAGAGTTACCGATCGATAAAAATAAACGCTTTGTCTTGTATTACTTTTTAGTACTTCTAATGCACAGGTGTGTAAGTAAACCGTTTATTTTTTTATTATTGGATTAAATGTGTAAAACATTGGTGAGAAGGTCATAAAGTATATATAATAAGCTTAATATTTAAACTTCAATACTTCTGTCGCTAAATTTATTTATGTTTAATAATCTGATGAGCTGACAACTTAATACTTTAAGCTCAATCAAATACAATCATTATAAAAATATTTTTATCTTTATAATAATAATAATTTCTTAATTTATTTTTTACAAGCTTATAAACTGTCAAGTTAATAATCTAAGAATTTTATTTTTTATTTTTTATTTTAAGTATTCGAAGTGTTAAATTTTTAAAGTTATAATTGAAAATATGAGAAAGTTATTTCAAATGTACTAATTAAAAGTCATAAATAAACTTTTGACTTCTGGAATGTATGTCAAAACTTATTTAATCATAATATTTCACAATCTTACGGCTCAGTTTTTAAATTATAAGTTTCTTGAAAATGTGAGAGTAATTCTGATTTTCGATCGATCGCAATTAAGCCAATGTTTGTCACATCTTTAACGACTTTGAAAGTAGAAGAAAACAAATTAGTTTAATGGAAAATAAGTGTCTAATTATTGAGCTGAAAGCTTACGCGAAAACAACTTTCATTGATTAATATATGAGTAAAATATTTCTTTCAATTAAAAATAAGTCTTAAATTTGTAGAGTAACTTTTTTAAACTATATCCAAAAAAAAAGTTTCCTTGAGCCTAAAAAATTAATAAAAAAGATCAAAATAGTTTTGGCTCAAGTAAAAGTTTTCTTAAAGAAAAAAATTTTTTTTACGAGAAAATTTTATTTCATTCAAGATAATTATTGTCATCTATATTATTAAGAGAATAAGAAAAATTTTGTGTCTAGGATAGTCATATGATAAAATCGGTGTTTTTAGAGAAATTTAGAGTCATTGCAAAGGTCTCAATTTGAATTTGTGACTTTTCAAAATTTCATATCGTTCTCACCGATAGTCAATTTATGATGATAAGTATTTAAGCTGCATTCGAAAATTCTCTATTAGTAGATACATATTTAAGAAATGACGTTATATCTTGTAAACTATTGACATTTTTAAAGATATAAGCTCATCCCGATGTTACGTTAATCGAGACCTTTCATTTGAGTACCCACATTAATTTTTCATATATTTCATATATTTATATATATGTATATATGAAAAATATATCAAAATGCATGTGGGTACTCAAATGAAAGGTCTTGATGAGTGTAACATCGAGATGAGCTTATATCTTCAAAAAAGTCAATATTTAAGAAAGTACAGTGCAATTTAACAAAAATCATTATTTAATAAAGCAAAATTTTATTTGTTTATAGTTTACAAATTACGGCAGTCACATAGTGACTGCAAGGTCGCTAGTCATAATTATTTTTCTTGAGTAAAGAATTTTTTTCTCCATTCAAGAAATAGAACTAGTTTTTTTTTCTTGTAGAATTTCATCAAATGAAAACAATTTTTTTTAATTTACAATATAATCATTAAAGTTCTTTTTAGTGAAAATTGATTTTTACGATAATCATCTTATAGTAAATACAAATCAGACAATTAAAAAAATTTTTTTAATCTAAAAACAACAATAAAAAATTTTTACATGCCTTAATTCTCTTAAAAAATTTTGAAAAGTTAACGAGGTAAAATTTGTGTAATATATTTTTGTTTTTCATGAATTATTATAAACTATAATTAAATTAAGTATATTTCAAATTAACATTTGAGAGTATAGTACCACACTAAATGATAACATTTTACAATAAGCCGATTAAGTAATAAAGTTAAAAATAATGATGCGGAATTGTTAACAAGACTATTCGTAGAATTTAGGTCAATTGATTATTGATATCATCAATAACCAGCATCAATTTGTGAAATGTAGTGAACATAATACAAATTTATGTAACGTGTTATGTCACAAATATCACCAGAGGCAAATTGCCACCAAATGGTGCCCGTGAGACTTACATAATTGTTAAACTTGCTTCTTAGTTTCCCTATTCGCTCAACTTCAATATCTCCCGCTATTTCTTATTAGATTCACTCTTTCCTCCCTTTGTACTTAACTCAGTCATCAGCGTCCTTCAATAATTACAATTAACACAATTTCCTCTATTCTTAGGGCCAAGGCTCTATTTCGCGCTAAATATTTAACTATTTTAAAAATATTAAATCAAATATCGAATGTACTAAATACGAATGAATGAATTATCGAGTTGGTTTGCAAATTTCCAAGCATCCAATATTCTGCTAAAAGTTCACCTCGACTATTTATATTTATATGGATGTATATACATATATACTAAACTGATTCTCTACCTCTATCATCATCACCTCCACTGAAATACCCCGTCCTCGTGTAAACGTTAAACTTGAGTAAATTGCATTCGGAGAAAATAGTACGCTAAAGATTTTCCAATAAACTAAAATACTTCAGACTTAATACTCGCGATATCACAAGTCTATAGCTTCGATAAATTTATATAAATGGATTATATTAAACCTATATACTTTTCAGATTAAATGTCAAAATTATTATTATAAGATAGCGATAATAATAATAATTTATATAAAATGTTTTTTTTTTATAATAATAGTTAAAGTTATGTACTAGAAATTTACTTCAACTTGAGGAACTTGAGAAATATTTCAGAAAATTATCGACATAGTTGCAGTACTTAGTTATCATTTTAAGATAAAATTTCTATAAAATTTAGAATATTTTATCGTACTAAAAATTATTCCAAAAACAAAAATCTTAAAGCCATTTATAAAAAGTGGAGATTTTTAAGAAAAAAAAATTTCTGGTTGGATTTTCCGCTTCGTGAACGAAATTACTGAAATGAAGATATTTCAAGATTCGAGTGGTACTCGAAGAAAAATTTGGCAATAGTTCGCCCATTTACAAGCTATTTTATAGCGATTCTGGTAATACATAAATTTTAGACGTTCGAGTAATTCTAATAATAAATTGTGAAGAAAAAATGTTTGCTATATAGTAATATAAAGTGTTGGCCTAGTTAAATGTCAAGTAGCCCCGCTGTTTAATAGCTTAAATGCTTTGGCTACTTTTTGTGAGTATAAAAACGGATATGGAATCAATTAAAGTGATAATAACTGTAATTTGAAATTCGTATTTCAAAAATAAATTCTGTCTTACTAAACCTAGAGAGAAAAATACTTTTTGGTAATTATTTACAAGTGGGGTCCAACCATTTTAATTTTTTTTTTTTGAACAAAATTTTTTTTTTTAATTTTGATATATTTTTTTTTGAAAAGTACATAAAAAAATGAACAATTAAAAAAAAAAGTTGATTACTACAATTTTAACAAATTTATAAATTTTTTAGAAAATTGTAATATTCAATTTTTTTTTAATTATTTGTTTTTTCATATTCTTTTAAAAAAAAAATATATCAAAAACACCAAACAAGATAAAATAGAAATTTTATCCAAAATCATGAGAGCCAAAATTTTTTCTAACTTTTAAAAGCAAAAAAGCTATTAAAATCTTTATTTTTTCTTTTCAAGATTTTCTTTATCACAAATGCACTGTAAAAACAAGCAGGATAAAAAAAAATTGAAAATGTTAATTTTTCACCTAGTTATGGCCCAAAATGAGGTTGACCCACTTGTAAATAATTACCAAATTTTTCTTAACACTAAAAAATATATTCTTGATATTTATTAAGAATATATTTTCTTGTTTAAAGATTTTTTCGAATTAATTAAAGTAATTTTTTCTTAATAAGTAAAAAAAAAAAATATTAATATTTTTTTTTGTCAAAAAATTAATAAATTAAAATTAATTTCTAAACAATAATTTTTTTTTAAAGTAAAATAAAATCCGTTTTGCAAATGAACTATAAATAAATGAACTAAAATTATCAAGTATTGAAAAAATGTATTTTTTTTATTTTTTTGTAAATCAATTTATGAAACTACAACATATTTTTAAAAATTTTTTGTCATAGTAAAAAAAAAACTGATATTGATTAATGAAATTCCGTCGAAACAAAAATATTTATTGATAAAAGCGGTCTTACCCCTGAGTAGAAACAGAATTGGGTATCCCATCAAGACTCTCTCTGCTGACCTCGTCGGCCATCGCGACCTTTAGCTGGTGCCCGAAACTCGCGAGGTCCTCTCTGAAGGCCTCGCTTCCGGGGGTGACGGCACCACTCGTGGGTGGAAACGGCGTGGCATTCTCATTGTCACCCACCACGCCGCTATCGCCTCCCTCGCTGTTTTTGTCCACCAAATTCTGTTCGTCTTCGTTGTAAATTTTGAAGTAGGCGAAGGTGAGATATATCACCGAAATAATGAAAGACGGTATTGGTATTGCCATCGCAAGCACTAGGTTCATATAAACCTGGAGATTAACCCTTTATTTAGTCATGTGTTTTTAGTCATATTTCATACATTTATCGACACACACAGTTCAAATAATACAGCTAAATTCTCATTTCAACTAATGAGTATTTATCTTCATTTAAATATTTACGTCAATTTTATCACGACTTCAATACTCAGCATTTCCGCAATTATTATTTTTTTCTTTTTGCTTTTTTATCTCAGCATTTTCTATTCAGTCCGTCCAAAGGCATTGAGCATTTTGTTAAACTTAGCGTGTTTCTAAAACATCTTTTTCTTTTATCATCATCATCATTATTCTTTTTTTTTTTTTGCACTGTAATAAAGCTGATGCGGTGAATACAAAGATTTCTTTCATCTTTTCACAAAAAAAAATTGAATTAAAACACCGAGTATTTACTTTCGCGAAAAAAAAATACGTTCAATGAATTTTAGCGAGCAACAATTACAGTAAAGTGAAAAACTAAACGTAAATAAAAATAAAAAGTAGGAATTGAAGCTTCAATTTTTTAAGGATCTACATAAATATTTATTTTTTTTTTTATATATGGGTGATTCTCTGTAAGGATGTTTTTTGCTGTCCCAGGTATTTTTTTATTAGAAAAATTGTTATTTTGTTATTAAAAAAAATTTATTACGAAAGTAAAAAAACATTTCTATTTGGAGCATTGAAAACTAACATGAAATAAATTTAGGTTTTTTTGCTATAAATTGGGAAACTACCGAAATAACAGTCTCCTGGGCTGTCTCTTTTCCAAAATTAAAACTTTAAGATTAAATTTTAAGTTATTCGTTCATAATATATAATTTGGTCCATAATGTTTATAAACTTAATTAGTTAACTAACAATATTCTTCAATAAAAAGTACCAAAAATTAATTTGTTTCATTAAATTCATTAAACCAAAGTTTGTCCCAGACATTTTAAGAACAGTCCCCTGCCCCAAGTTCAAAGCCAAAAAAAAATCCAGCGTGTTATTTTACCTTTTGTAAGGTTTATAAGGACCTAACTATAGCCTTGAGTCAATAACTATAGGGCTGTTAGTGCTTTATCGTCATTTTATTTAGTGTTAAAGCACAGTATGTGCTGGAAATATGTGTCTGGTCACTTCAAAACTCAGTCCCCTGGCCACTATTTTTATTTATAATTTATTTATAAAATTGCATCCATAAGTCTTAATATTATTCTAATTAATGTAAACATTCATTGAGAACTTGAAAAGTTTAATGCATTGAAATAGTTTGCTTGATTTTTCTCAATTTGATAAAAAAAAAAAAAAAAAAACAGTCCCCTGTCATGTTATATGGCAAAAAAATACACAAATATCGAAAAAGCAAAAATTAAATCGGCTGTTTATTTATTATGATTAAGCTGATAGTTTTGTAGTCTTTGTTAATTTTTTTTCTAACAAAATCAAAAATAATTTAGTCGGACAATTTTGTACAGATTTAAAACGTCCTTACAGAGATCACCCATATATATTTAATTCATGTGAGCAATAAAATTTAATGCAAATTTAAACTCAAGTTTTTGGAAATATCTGTAATGGGTAATTCGCTGAATCAGCGGTTTGAAGTTTTAAAACTCACGTATCGTTAAAAAGTATTTATTTATTCAATCTACTAAGCCAAATAGTATTTAAATAAAACTTTTGAAGCCACAACTAAATTTATTCCAGGCCAAAATAGGTCAAGTCCTACTTTTGCATAATCAGAAAAGGTCCTGAGTTTATAAAAACACTCGCTATCTCAAATAATTTTATAAATAACACAATTTATTTATAGAAAATAAGCTACTTATTAATTTAATCTGATTTGTTAACACAATTATTATTTGTACGAATTTATTTAACCAAATTAGATCCAAAAGGTAAAGTTAGAATTTTCCAATTGTTTGCGAAGGTTAGCGCATGAGTGGATTCATTTCCATCAACCCTTTGTAGAAAGTTCAAATTCCTAACCTGTTTAGCGTGAAGAAAGTTATACTGTAGCTTTCTATAAAGTCTACCGGCAAAATAGAGAGAATAGGTGCATGTTCAAACTTTCCCTTAAACAATGACTGAAATTCAAACATCCCTTTGCAGATGCGGTAAGTTGTGTTCACTAAGACCGAAATATCGCGATCATCCTCGCCCTCGGTTAAACACAAACTTTTAGCGCAAGAAATAAAAGTAAATAATTGGTTTTTGTAGTTAAGTTAATAAAAATTCTAGAGCCTGATTTTCTTCCAAAACGTACATTTTCATATTTAACGTTTATCGTTTTAATAAATATAATTTTGTGCTAAAAAATAATCAATACTCTTGAGTTTATACTAATAGTTTTTATGGACAATGTTAGCGAGTTTAAAAGTTTTAACGATTGCCAAGAGTTTATTTATATTTATTACTACCTAATAATAAAAATAAATTATGAAAAAAAAGATATTGTAAATTTATGTTAATATTAAAACCAGGACAGTGAAGATAATAGTAATTGTCAATTGATTGACGTTTTAAAGAAAAACCATAAGCGGAATTGGATTCAGATCGGAAAATAGTAAAGAGGTGCTGTAGACTTATGAAGAAATGATGATAATAATAATAAAAATAAAAAATTTTCTTTGACGGTACTTTATCAGAGAGATGATGGTTTCCGACTTAGCCGTCCGCTCTATTCAACATCGGCACGGCATTGTCCACCGACAATTGAAATCGTCTCGGTTACAATGTTTCCGCAAGTTTAAGCTCAAGACCATTTATTTTTTAGCTCAATAAATGTCCATCAGATTTTATTTTTCTCGCGTTAAAGCTCTTTCCTGGAAAATTCAATGGTTGATTTTTTGCGCAAGAGTATTGAAGAGGTGATCGCTCCTGTGGTTGACGTTATTTATTTAAATGATACGGGTAATACTGATAGTTTTTTTTTTTTAGGCAGAGAAAATATTTTATAACATTAATATTGTTATTATATGACATGTAAAGGCTCTCTTATAGGAAAGAGGTGAATAAAGTAATGTAATATTTAATAGAGACCTGCCACATATCAAGGTCACTCAATACGATTCCAGGATCTATTTTAGAATAGTAACAACTAAAATTATGTCCTATTTTAGTGTACTGTTTGTAAAAAATACTGCAATTGAGTATTGGAGGGTATCCACAGCCTTTTACATTGGGAAATAATTTAGCACCAGTGAAATACCACTCGGAATCGTTGCCCATCAGACCTGCAAAAAGTTACATTTTATTAATAAATATTTATTTTATTCTTCTTGCTAAAATTATCAACGTTTTATACTGATTATAAATTTTAAAAATATATATCGTTGAATTTTAAATCACCCCGGAAAATCGATGACCTGAATTCACTCGATAGATATTTGTAAAATTCATAAAATATATAAGTAATTTAAAATTTTATAAATAAATTTAATTTACCATAAAATTATGTAATGTATTTACTGGGATAGAATTTATTTTAGATAATATAATTTTGGTTGGCTGTAATTTTAAAAAGCAAATTATCGGAATACCTGTGAGCTTTTATGTTAAAAATTGAATTATCGATATTTTTTTAGTCAATAATTTATCATAATTTTTCGTTAATAATTTACTTTTTTACTCAAATATGTTACGCTCTACTTTACAAGACTTCGTTTTAGAGAGTTTATAACTTTTATTAAAGTTTTTTAGTAGAGACTCGTTTTAATTTAAAATTTTCTTATGTTTATGACAGGACAAGTTTTTCTCATTAATGTGTTTTGTAAACCAGGGCGTAATGAGGTACTTTATAGAGGCGATAATAAATTACATGGATGGAAAAATTTATAGACATTGAAAGTTATTGAAAAAAAAATTTTTGTACTGACAAAATATTGAGCTGATTTAAGAATAATAATTTTAAATCAAGAACTTTGTTTTTAAGAATTTTTTTATTTTTAATCAAGTAAAAAAATTCTTGAATTTAATCAAATTTATTTGAACCAAAAATTTCTTACTACAATTTTTTTTGCTTGATTCAAGATGTTAAAACTCTTCACAGTGATATTTTTCTTTTAAATCAATTCAATTTTTTTATAAATATAAAAATTTCATCATAAAAACTTTAAATTCGTATATTTTAAGTACAAAAAAAATTAGGAATAAAATTACGAATTTGTTAGAGTGTTTTTTACACGCGTATGTATACTGTAAGGTATCACGCGATACTCTCCAAGTATTCTAAATAATTTATAATTTAAATAAATTAAAGCTTTAGAAAATTGAGTATTTTAATAAAAATTGTTAAAACTCAATGTAAATTTATGTTGTACACTGATTTTTTTATATATTTTTTGATTGAAAATTATATTTGTGATTATTCACAAATATAATTTTTATTAAATAAATATAAAAAAAAAATTTTAACTTAAAGAAAAATTTTGGAGTTTTTACCATAAATTCATGAGAATTTTGTTAATATAAAAGTTTTGTGCAAAAAAAAAAAATTGCACACAGAAAAAAAAATGAACTTGATTCGAGAGAAAAATTCTTGAACCAAGAAAATAATTTTAAAGAGGATAATTTTATTGAGTCAAGACGAAAAATTCTTGAATCAAATAAAATTTTCTTAAATCAAGAAAAATGCCCAATTTTAAAACACGGTAACTGCAAAATTTTTATACCTGATTTTTTTTTAATATTGTTGCATTTTTTGTAATTTTTAGACCTCAATTTCAAGTATTTTTTCTTAAAAATATTTATATTTAAGTATTTTCTATTTATAAATCAAATTTGTCATCAATTTTTTTGGGCAAAAATTTTTTTAATAAGAAAAATTGAAAAAAATTTTTCAATGTTAGTTACTGTGTTTTGAAATTGGGCAGCCAAAATTTATTAGTTCAATAATTTTTCTACTCAAATCAAGAAGATTAAGTTCTTCAAAATTATATACTTGATTCAAGAACATTTTTTTTTCTGTGCCTATTGTTTGGAAAAAATCTTATTCATCATATTAAAAAAAAAAGATATACATAATACCTGTAGGAAAAGGTTTTGGCAGTCTATTATCAATATCATCTTCATCAAACTCGTCGTCAAAATCCTCGATGTAATTATTGTAATCCCTCGGTGAACGTTCATATCTCGACTTGTACCCGGCCTCGTCGCCCTCGACACCTCCTCCCGCCCTGCCCTCCCTGTCGGTCCCATCTAACTGAGTTTCATTAACTGGTAGTTTGTAATTAACGCGTATTTGCGTACAATCGTAAAGTTCCTTGGTACAACCTTCTCTACACGAGGTCCACGAGCAGTTGCTAGCACCTGGACTCATCATTATATAACACACAAGACAACGCTCAATTTCAGTTAAACTATTTACTTCCATCAACATTAACACCAATACGAACAACAAATCCACACACGCCCAATAAAACACATTCAAAACACATGCATGCTTGGAAATATTTACGCAGGCGTACACATTGACCACGTGGACGATATCACGAGATATTGAATTATTGTCTGTCAACTTTCCAAAGAAATAACTCGCTTCAAATAATATGTATCATATTATTTTACATATTTTTGAGTCTAATTTTTTTATTTCTATCAATGCTACTCAACCTTTCAAGTGAATAGGGTTAAAGAGATATTTTGCTCGTTCAAGAGCTTACATTGTATTGATATTTGTCAATAAATAGCTTTTCGATGCCAAAAGTTGCGAGCACAAATGCCCCGATATATTTGTCAAAAGCGATATTAAATAATCTATCGAAAATCAATGGCCACTCTCTACTCAGCTTATATATTTATTTCAACTGGTAAAAGTTGATTGTGTCAAGCTGCTCATTTATTATTCGAACTTTTTGATTGATACACGACTTAAATAATTTACAGCAGAAAATCAAGTACACAGAAAAAAAAGTTAACTTAAATCAAGAACATTTTGGTCTTTAAAAATTTATTCTAGGACTTAAAAAAATTTTTTTTTCTTTACTAAAAAAAATTATTTGAATTTTTAATATTAAAAAATTTTAATTAGGAAAAAATTGTGTTAAAAAACATTTTCACTCAAAAGTACTTACAAGACTTATTAATTTTAAATTATATAAGTTTCCATTCATATCCATTATATATTTAAATAAACACTCTTTCGGTTGAGGGGATATTTTTTTTTTATTTTAGTATTTATTTACATCTTTGTAAATGTTTCGTTGGTTCTCCATCTTCATTAGTATTGTAAGGCTAACACAAATTATACATATAATTGCAATATTAAATTAACTTGAGAGTAAATTAATTGTGAGGTTAATTTAATGAAGTTAAAAAGTATATATATATATATCTCGATTAGCTAATTATTATAGTCTGCATTATGCTATTGTATACTAGTGCACAAAATATTTTGTACCTAATAAGTATTTATTTATAATAATGTAAAAATTTATATATTTTATATTAATTGCAAAATTATGTGACCCTGTTAATGGCCTTTGGCTGTTGGATCTTTTTCCAAAGAAGTAAATAAATAAATAGTCTGCAACAATATGTAATAATTAAGACAATAATTATGAGCGTGTCCTGGTACAACCATTACATCATCAGCGATCATAGCAATAAATAATTGTTTAAATTTATTTAAATTATGATAATTGATGATTTAATAGCTGAACGAGGACAGACTAATAATTATTGTCTTGATCATGACATATTACTGCGGACTATAATATTTAGCTGATCAAGATATATATACACATTTTTTAATTTTGTGATTAATTTACAGCAATAGTTAAGTTAATTATAGTGTTTAAATTAATTAATTTAATATTGTAATTAATTGTATAATTTATGATGTCCTTACAGTACTGATGGATGTAAAAAACCGACGAGTGTTTATTTATTAATTTTAAAAATGGTGAAAATATACCCAAGACCAGACTCGAGCCTTGATCTTACCGCACTCTTAAAAAATTGTGATATCACTTAGCTATACAGCATTTATATAAAATTTGAATTTATTGATACATTAGTAAGATATGACTTTACTTTATTAAATTATTTAAAATTTTTTAATTTTGTTAAATTAGCCTCACAATTAATTTACAGCAATAGTTAAGTTAATTATAGTGTTTAAATTAATTAATTTAATACTGTAATTAATTATATAATTTATGATGTCCTTATAAAACTAATAGATGTGAAAAACCGACGAGTGTTTATTTATATTATTTTTAAAAATGGTGAAAATATACCCAAGAGCGGGCTCGAACCTTGATCGTTCCGCGCTCTTAAAAAATTGTAATATCACTTAGCCACACAGCATTTTTATAAACTTTTGAATTTATTTATACATCAGTAACTTATGACTTTACTTTATTAAATTATTAAAAACTTTTGAAACAAAATATTGATCAAGAAAATAATTTACTCAAGAAAATATTTTCATAAAAATGTTCTTGAGGCAAGACTATTTTTCTTGAGCCAAGATATCCTTTTTTTCTGTGTACTTGATGTCAGTATAACTGCGTACACTGAAAAAAAAAATTAAATTTACTCAAGAGAAAAATTCTTTAACAAAAGAAAAATAATTTCAAAGAGTTTCATCATTTTAAATTAAGACAAAAAATAATTTAATCATTTTTTTTTATTTAAAATAATCAAACTCTTCAAAATTATTTTCTTGGTTCAAAAATTTTTCTTTTTAATAAATTTAATTTTTTTTTTTTAGTTTAGGTACTCGTGATATCATAAAAGCAGGAAGAAAAATAACTTGGAATGAATAAATAAGATTTGCACATTTTAAAATGACTTTTAAAGACAACTTTGTTAATCAATAACAATAACATTGGACACAAAAGTCAAAAACAACACACATAACTACAAACAGGGATGATAATTTTCGATCTGAAGAAAGATCTTATCAATTACAGGGAGAACGAAAGCAAACACTGACATTGCTGGTTCGAAAGCAGACATGCACAGAAGTTTTTACAGAGGGGCTCAGTACGAACAATGACAACAATCTGGTTCTTATTCTTATTAAATTGTGTATTTGTTTTATATCATATTAATGTATGCATGTGTGTGTGTGTGTGTAGATTTTTAGTGAGTGAGTGAGTGAATGAGATTGTTCACCTCTACGTGACTCAACATCTATGGTGACACACTCGGCCGGTCGTGTGTCAAAATCCATAAAGATCGTGGTGAAGGCGGGGTCGATGACGAAGGGGACCAAGAAGAGGAAGGCGAAGAGGCTGAAGGTGCCAAGGAGGATGAAGAACGCGGTCGTGTAGAACAGCAGCTTCTCTAAAAACGTCTGGTCTTTTTCGTCCGCCATCTTGGTGAACGGGGGCAGTGGTTGCGGCTGATGCTTCTTAACACTCGTCGATATTTATTACTAATTTTAGTTATAACGAACGTCAAACGTCCGACATCTGATTAATCTGTGGAAGTTTTTATTTTAAAATAATTTCAACTCGAATTAATATATTAATTGTATGAAAATTAATTTAGCAAATATTTGATAATTTGAAAAATTTTTTTAACATATAAATTATGACCCGAAAAAAATTATTTAAAAAATTGAAATGTAGAAATTGAAAAAAATAAAAAATGCTATTTTTTAAAATAAATTTTCAGAACAAATTTTTTTTGTTAAATAAAATTAAAAAATTGGCAAGTCAATAAAAATATTAATTTTTCAGGAATAATAATAATAATAATAATAATAATAATAATGTTAGCATCCCTAAAAAAAATTCGAGTATGAAAAAATTTAATTGTTAATTACTACTATTAATAATAATGATTTAAAATTGATTAACTTATGGTATTTCTCACCAAAACTAACAAAATAGTAATAAAATCATTAATTTATAAATTTTTTTCCGTCAATCATTAATTATATTCATAAAATAAAGTACAAAATATATATTCTAACTACAATTAACGAGAATTAAAATAAATAATGATTTATTTTTAAATTCAAACTAGTGAATCAACAATTGGGAGTCAACAATAAAACAAAATCAGAGTCAAAAATAAAACTATATATTTTTTATTTTAATCTATTAAGCGAATATTGTAAAATTCATTGAAATACAAGTATTTAAAATTGAATTTAGTTTTTAATTATCTGATAATCAATTATTTTAAAATTAAAGTCAGTGAAATCATATGAAACAATAAAAAATAATTTTCTTAAACTATTGCAAAAATGATTAAAATTGAAGTATTTTACATTGAATTTTTTCTACTCAGAAAATTTTTTTTTTTAATTTTGAGATTGAATGTTTATTCGAAAAACCCCATAAGGGGATAACACGGATTTAATATTTTTTGGTACTGGTATACGTGAGGGAAAATTCAAAAAACTGAAAAATACAAAAATTTGACTTATGGTATTTCTCAAATAAACGATTCATATAAATATTGTATATTTTTATAGTTGCGTCAACTGATATCGACCCGTTCTTCAAGGTTAACTAAATCGATGCCTTTACATATCGAGAATTAAGTATATATATATTGTATATTTTATTTTATACCTTATACATGTATTGTATATGAATAAATTTATTATTATTATTTATTTTAGATGTTAAAATATAAATAGAAGTATATATTATAAATAATTGATAGCAGCTGTAGCAAATTCAAGAAACTTCGACACTCATTAGCAGATACGGGCAACCGAGGGAACTATCAAATCTATGATTTACCGGACAGGACATTAAATTCTCCGGGACACGTGAGTGCAGCACGCGACGATAAAAAAAAAAGTTAATAATAATAGTACAAAGCTGAATAGTTATAGGCAAACTTTAATTATTAATTTATAAAATAACTCAATAATTTATCGATTATTCTAATTTTATAACCAGTTTATTTTTACAGCATACCGATACGAGCAAATGCCGCGGGTTTTTATCCACCCAATACAGTACAATGTAAGCCGGTCTAGTTTTACCCGTCTGAATAAAGACCCATGATATTCATCAATTCAAATCCCCTAAGATACCAAATGCCTGATTAGAATTTGTCTACCGGATTCGAGGGTAAAGGCACAATTTATATCTCGATAAATAAAACTTTAATATACAAACATTATCATTAGCACTAAAGACAAGTTTTTAAATTAAGTCTTCAAAAGTTTGTTATTCCTGAAAATTTGGATTAGATACGATAAAAGTTACATTTATACGATAAAAGTTGACCATTTTTTTTTGTTTAAAAAATTTTTATAATTTTCTTACATAATTTTTATATTAAAAAAATTCTCAATATTATCAAGTGTCTTAGTTTTAATATTGTTAAAATTTTAAGCATAAAAACCATTATTTTCATTTAAAAAAAATAGAAGAGTACTAAAAAAATTTTATTAATATAATATTAAAGTTAGCCGACGATTTCAATATTTTGATTTTTTTTTAATAGTTAAATTAGAACAAAAAAATATTTTTTAAAAATTGCACTTACAGTTTTTTAAATTTTTTACAAGTGAAATTTAAAAAAAATTTTTTTTTAATCATTTTTTTAATTCTAAAAATTTTTAAATGTCGGCTAACTTAATTTTCATTAATAGTCTAAATTATCTTTTACAATAATTTATGACATTAAAGTTAGCAGTTAGAGAATTTTTTAATTAAAAAAAAAAAAAAATTGTTCCAAAAAATTGCATTTTTAATTTTTTAAAATTTCTACATCAATATTTTTGCCATAATTTATTTGTTAAAAAAAATTATTGAATATCTGCTAAATTTATATGAAAATTAAGTTAGCCGACATTTAAAAATTTTTAGAATTAAAAAAATGATTAAAAAAAAATTTTTTTTAAATTTCACTTGTAAAAAATTTAAAAAACTGTAAGTGCAATTTTTAAAAAATATTTTTTTGTTCTAATTTAACTATTAAAAAAAAATCAAAATATTGAAATCGTCGGCTAACTTTAATATTATATTAATAAAATTTTTTTAGTACTCTTCTATTTTTTTTAAATGAAAATAATGGTTTTTATGCTTAAAATTTTAACAATATTAAAACTAAGACACTTGATAATATTGAGAATTTTTTTAATATAAAAATTATGTAAGAAAATTATAAAAAAAATTTAATTATTAAAAAAAAAAATTAAAATTGTCGACTAACTTTAGTATTATTAAATTATAAAAATTAAGTTAGCCGACATTTAACAATTTTTAGAATTTTTTTTTTATTGAAAAAATGATTACAAAAATCTAAAAAAAAATTTTCACTTGTAAAACACTTTAAAAACTGTAAGTGCATTTTCTTAAAAATATTTTTTTGTTCCAAATTTAATTATTAAAAAAAAAATTAAAATCATCGGCTAACTTTAGTATTATTAAATTTATAATCATAATAATTTCTAAAAATGATTAAATGCCTTTAAATTCCAGTATCGTATAAAACAGATGTCCAAGTTTAAAAGATTCTTTGTATCAGTAGGATTAATGTCACTGAAGTCTTGTACTTCAAGAAGAAAAAGTAACTTACCCTCTTCCTGTTCCCCCGCATCATCATAACAGTATTTATTTTGTTATTTTGTATCTTAAACTTGGTTGTCCTCGGAGGCACACCACAAAACAGCCCTCAGGGCTCTTCACATATTCTATCTAACACTAAGCAGATCGACTAAGCACATTTGTCTGATCTGACAATTAGCACGACTACTTTATAACGGGTTGGTTAACACTAAACAAGTATCGCCACCTTCACTTATTCTACTTTCTCAATACAAGCTCCGAGGATATTTATTGCTCCAGAGTCATGATCTTACCAATTAGTGTCCTCATACTTGACACATTAATTCCGCGGAATCACTCGGTGGCGCGGGCTTTTTTATTAAAATAATTAATTAATTAATTCAATTTAATTAAAATAGTTATTAGATAAAATAAAGAGTACAAGAGTAGAGTATAATAAAGTGAATAGAATCTGTTGAATAATAAATGATAAATTAATTAAAAATAAAGTGATAAGAGTTAAGGGTGGTACTGTAATGTCTGTTGTGTAAGTGTGTTGTTTGTTTGGTTTGTTCTTTAGAGGGATGATTACAGTGGTTGCCTAACACCGTTGTCAGCGTACCATGGCAGGCCACGAGGGGTTGCTCACGGTACAGACGGTGCGTCGGCGGATGCCGGGCTACTGCAGTCCAAGGCAGCTTTGGGCTTTTGGGCGAGCTTATTTTCTGGGCGATTGTAGCGCCATGACGACGGCATCTAGTAGCATCGACCGCCACACTTCCAGGGCGTTCTCGTCACACATATACATTTTATAAGGCGATGAGATATGAGTGAGAACAACCTACAGCACAATATATTGTTTCTACTGTATACTACACACATATCTATGTATAAATATAAATCATTTACTGAGATTTAGTACAATCGTAAACCTACATTTCATCTTTCATGGTTCGCACAAATAATAACTGAAAAAATATTTATGTACTGTTATTATTAAATCGCTTGTAAATGTAAACCCCTGATGGTTAAATCAAAATTCACTAATTATTTCGTTAGGTTGGACAATTTTAATTGTCATTTTTACAACCGGTTTTTTTTTGTTGTTAATTAATTTTAACTATTTTTAGATTTAAAGGCTAAATAGAAACCGAGGATTAATTCGATAATTATTATGTACTGGTTGCTGGAGGCAACCAAATAAATTTATCGTCAGCATCAAAGTAAATGGCTAAATTGTATTACATATTATGGTCTACTACTTCTGAATTGGATGCAAATATAGGGTTGATTATCATAGTCAGAATAATGATTTATTTGCGTTAAGTGGAAATTAGAGGTAAATTTTTTAAAATATTTAAATATACATACAAGTTTATTTGAAACAAGAAAATTTTAAAGACTGAAATTTTTTTAGAGTAAGAAGAAATTTTTTCAGATAAAAAAATTTTACAAAGATAAATTTTTTTTATAAATAGGGTAGAAGTACCGTTTGTGGCCACTGTACTCTTTATGGCCATTTATTCGGATGCCCAATTTTAAAACACAGTAACTGCAAAATTTTTATACCTGATTTTTTTTTAGTATTGCTGCATTTTTTATAACTTTTAGACCTTAATTTCAAGTAGATAGATATTTATTTTTGCATTGTACAACAGTAAGAACTGTTTTTTACAATTTTTTCATCACAGTTTCTTAAAATTAAATCTGCATCTTAAAAAATATTTAAAGCTCTGGTTCTAGCACCACATTTACTTAAATATTTCATTTCGTCTTATTGCTAATATCACTTTCAACTAGCTTAGGTAATTTAGAAATTTTTGGAACAATTTATATTAAATCAAAATACATTAAA